CCCTAAACCCTAAACCCTTGTGTTTGTGTACAGCCTGCAGCAGCAGCAGACAGCCGATACCCCCTGGTTGCTTATGAGTCTTTTGGTGAGCTCTTCTGCCGCACGCTGCGGGACAGAGCCAGAGAGATAATGGACCTCTCTCCTCTCGCCATGGTAGGGTTTAGGGTTTAGGGTTTAGGGTTTAGGGTTTGGCCCGGTCTTCTTTCGTTTCTATCTCTTATATGCAAAGTGTATACAACAATATATAAATGTATATAAAACAACTCATAAATAAATAAATAAATAAATATAGATATATATAATATATATACATGTATATATATATATATATATATATATATATATATATGAGGGTATAACGTATCTGATAGATAATCTCTTGCATATCAATCCTCTATACTCTATCTACTCTATACTCCACACACTACACACTATATACTATCTAGGGTTTAGGGTTTAGGGTTTAGGGTTTAGGGTTTAGGGTTTAGGGTTTGTATGCAGGTGAGCCCGTGCGACTGTACTGTGTCTGTGTTGGGGGAGGTTGACGGGGATCGGATCCCACAAGTAAAGGGCGCCACATACAGCCTCAAGGCCTTTCTCGGTATTAACCCCAAAACACAAGAAAACAATAAAGTAAATACTGCTTATTTTGTTTTTTATTTGTTTTTTGTTTTTTTATTTGTTTTGTTTTGTTTGTTTTGTTTGTTTTGTTTTTTGTTTTTTTGTTTTTTCTGTTTTTTTTTTTTTTTTTTTTTTTTTTTTTTTTTTTTTTTTTTTTTTTTTTTTTTTTTGTGAGCCACCTACGGCCTCAAGGCTTTTCTCGGTATTAACCCCAAAACACAAAAGCATAATAAAGTACATATTTTTGTTTTTTTTTTGTTTTGTTTTGTTTTGTTTTATTTTATTTTATTTATTTTATTTTATTTTATTTTGTTTTGTTTTATTTATTTATTTATTTGGTTTATTATAAATAGTATAAGAGTGCGTTCATTTGCACTAAAAACAAAACAGAAGAAAATAATAAAATAAAATAAAATATTTATTTATTTATTTATTTATTTATATTTATTTATTTATTTATATTTATTTATTTATTTTATTTATTTATTTATATGCTTGTGTTTCTGCTGCTGTTGCTGCTGCTGCATCTCCTGCTCCTCTCCCGCTGCCGCTTTCGCCGCCACCACCGCCGCTGCTGCCGCCGCTGCTGCTGCTGCTGCTGCTGCTGCTGCTGCTGCTGCTGCTGCTGCTGCTGCTGCAGCTGATGTACTGCGTGCTGCACCTGGCCCCACACCAATACCACCATTTTCATTCTCCTTGTCTCTTTAAACAAACAGTTCGTAGACACATGCACGGCGAGTGTCTCCCCGTATTCAGATCTTTTCTCGCAAAATTCAATGTAAACGAGGGTTTAGGGTTTAGGGTTTAGGGTTTAGGGTTTAGGGTTTAGGGTTTGGGGTTTAGGGTTTGGGGGCAGGAAGGGATAGAAAAAGGATGCGGGGATGGGACTGAGGGTTTAGGGTTTAGGGTTTTGGGTGTGTGTTGTTGTACCTCTGTGTGTGCGTATTGAACTCCTCTTTTCCATCTAGGGTTTAGGGTTTAGGGTTTAGGGTTTAGGGTTTAGGGTTTGTGTGTTTGTTATAGGATATATTTAGCGTACAAGAAAGAGTAATCCTCAGCGGCAGCTGGGAGGGGGGGGCGATGCACATTGCTGCTGTTGCTGCCTGCAACGTGGGGGACATAAGGCTGGAGAAAGAGCCCGTAAACCCTAAACCCTAAGCCCTAAACCCTAAACCCTAGGTGTTAAACTCTAAACCCTAAACCCTAAAAAAATTGAAAACCCTAAACCCTAGAAAAAGTTTTTTTGTTGGGATGGGGCGGAGAGAGGGATTGATAGAAAGGTTATTAAACCCTCAATAAGATACTGAGGGTTTAGGGTTTAGGGTTTAGGGTTTAGGGTTTAGGGTTTAGGGTTTTTGTGCAGGATCTGAGAACAAACCAAGACCGTGTGGTGCTGAGGCATTTGGGGGGAGATGTAGACATCAGGACGTACAGAGGTAAACCCTAAACCCTAAACCCTAAACCCTAGCCGGGCTTTGGCCGCGTGTATAGACCCTCACCTTCATGCAGCTCGAAACCCTAAACCCTAAACCCTAAACCCTAGAATATCCCAAGCAGAAAACCTAGACGAGCCACTGAAACCCTAAACCCTAAACCCTCGAGAGAAGAGCTGTCGTAAACCCTAGCCCGTAGAACTGTGGAGGTGTTTCTAAACCCTAAACCCTAGGCCTAACCCTAAACCCTAGATCCTAAACCCTAAACCCTAAACCCTAGAACGTGTGTTCAGATAAACCCTTGCAGTTCGATGTCGGCTCGCATGTGGGGGAGTTCCGCCTGGGGAGCACCATCGTCTTGGTGTTTGAGGCCCCGCAGGATTTTACTTTCTGCGTTGTAAACCCTAAACCCTAAACCCTAAACCCTAGACGCTAAACCCTAAACCCTAAACCCTCGTTGCGGAGATAAGAGAAACACACACGCAAACAGATCAACAAACCCTGAACTACTAACCTACTACAGAACATTAAACACCAGTGCTCACCCTAAACCCTAAACCCTAAACCCTAGATCGCTCTAAACCCTAAACCCTAGCTCAGTATAAACCCTAAACCCTAAACCCTTCTAAACCCTCACTAAGCTTCGAGCATGTGCTGCTGTTTTCATGACACGCCTCACACCCCTCTATCTGTCTAGCTAGTAGCTAGCTAGCTAGCCAGCCAGCTAGCCAGCTAGCTAGCTAGCTAGCCAGCTAGCTAGCTAGCTAGCTAGGGAGTGAATTTGTTGGTGTTTCTGTTGCTGCTGCAGGCAGCAGGAGACAAGATAAGAGCAGGCAGCAGGCTGGGGGGGGTGGGGCCCCCAGTGGTAGCTAAGGATGAAGGTAGCCGTAAGTTCATACACTATTGACGACGGCCAGCTAGCTAGCTAGCTAGCTAGCTAGCTAGCTGGCTAGCTAGCTAGATATATAGCTAGCTAGCTGGCTAGGGAGCTAGCTGGCTAGCTAGCTAGCTAGCTAGCTAGCTAGCTCTGGGAATAGGCAGTGCTGAAACAGCGCTGCCCCCTCGTTTGCTGCCTGTTGAGGGACGGGCTTCTGCTGCTGCACGCTCAGCTCACAGCCCATGGCTAGCTAGCTAGCTAGTCAGCTAGCTAGCTAGCTAGCTAGCTAGCTAGCTAGCCAGCTACTTTTAAAGGGCAGAGCCTGTGCCACCCAGTCCCACGCCCGAAGGACTAGCTAACTAGCTAGCTANAGCTACTTTTAAAGGGCAGAGCCTGTGCCACCCAGTCCCACGCCCGAAGGACTAGCTAACTAGCTAGCTACCTGGATAGCTAGCTAGCTGCCTAGCTAGCTAGCTAGCTAGCTAGCTAGCTGCTTGGCTTGCTGCAGACGCCTTGCAAAGTGCAGGCCGTCAGCGGTAACTCCTTTTTCCCCCAAGTCCATCGCTAGTCGGGCAGCTAGCTAGCTAGCTAGCTAGCTAGCAGGCTAGCTAGCCAGCTAGCGAGCAAGCTGAAGTGGCGTTCTA